AAAGATTCTTCCATTCCCTCACAGTGCTTTAAGTAATATGTTAGAGCCTCAAACTTCGGGTGGATGATTTGCTTGCATAAGAAAGGCAAACCTAGGGGCACATGGGTGGCTCAGTCGGTTGAGCGTCTACTTTTGGTTCATGGTCCCAGGGTCCTGGAATCAAGTCCCACATCGGGCTCCCTGCTCAGCGGGGAGTCTGCTTCTCCCTCTGTGTTCTCCCTCTCTCTCCCCAACGGATAAATAAAATCTTTAAAAAAAGAAAGAAAGAAAGTTTGCTCCTGACAGGAAAAGCTAGCTAAAAATTATTCATTTTGAAGCTAACTACCCCTAATCTTCTTTCCCCCTAATCCCATTTATAGAAACAAACCTGTATTCATATGCATACTCATACTTGTCACGAATTCTCACCTGGCATTTGGGAAACTAACTAGATATCAAGTCAAATTAGCCAATGAGAACTCTCTGACTTGCAGTTTTCACTACTTATGTTTATACTGACCGAGTATAAAACCTAACCTATGGCTATATGTTTGAATTTGGTTTTTGTCTGTATTTTATAGTAAATTATGAAAATTTAATGTATCTTACTATCATACAGGAAATAGTTAAGAATATTCATACACTGAACAAGCCATAATTTCAAGGCTGCTAAAAGAAGAATACCATTCATATTGTATATTCAACTTTGAAATTTTTATAGCTATACATTCTTCAATACCTTTAACTTTTCCTGTATTTTCAAACATCCTCTACTTCTTTCATCTTGTCTCACAGGAAAAAGTCTCTCTACCAAGGTTAAGAACAACTTCATGTATGGTCTTGAGTGTATCCTTGTCTGTCTTCTCACTGTTATCTTTACTCTCATCTCACTGTTATCTTTACTCAACTCTTAAAGATTCTTTCCTTCTATCAATATCTTGTATGTTTGCTTGATTTTCTATCTTAAAAACACACACAGACAAAAGTCTTTCTCTGGACCCTAATATTTCCTCTACTGCTCTGCTTTTTTCGTGCGTTTATAAACAAAAATGATTCTCATCCCTGTCTCCATTTTCTCTCTTCTCATTTATTCTCTTAATTTGCCATCTGATTTCCATCTCTATCAAGTTACTAAAAGTGTTTCCAATTCATCAATTATATAAATCTCCAAAGACATTAACCAAGTCTCCATTCTCCTTGACTTTGAGCAGGAATTACCCTTGTTGATGACTTTTTTAAAAAATGATTTTATATATCTTTGCTAATCTCTTTCCTCTTTGGCTACCCTTTCTTTCTCTTTTGCTAGCTCCCTTCCTCCTCTCAATCCTAAGGGTAGTCATCTGAACTGTTTTGACCCTTTTCCTAATGATTTTTTTTTCCTGAATTTCCTTTACTACCCCCTTTACACATTTTATCCTTGCAGTATTTGATTTATTATAGCTTTCACTTTTTAAAAAATTCCCTATCTTACCATTTATTCTACTGGATTTCCCATTTACTTCCATAAAAACCTGCTTCTTGAACTCTTCCTGCTTCCTCTCTAGACTTGCTGCCCAGCCCTTTCTGGGAATGTCTGTTTGCCTCTTTCTAAGATTGGTACATCTTTTCCAGAATTCCATGTTTTCCTCTTATTTTTTCAGTCTTTTTTTGGCTGGACTATTTCCTGGAGTTTCTGCCCTTATTTCGCTGGAGTAAAGATCACATGGGAGGAAAATCTTCTGCAGTTCTACATCCTTGACGGTCTAAAAATCTTTATAACCATATCTGCCATTAAAACTTTGAAAATATTCTGTCATTCTAGGATCCAGTGCTGTTAATAGGTCTGATTTTTTTTTCTTTTTTTTAAGAGAGGGAGAGAGAGGGTTGGGAAGGGCAGAGGGAGAGGGAGAGGGAAAGAGAGAATCTCAAGCAGGCTCCACGCCCAGAGAGGAGCCCGATGTGGGGCTCAATTACACGACCCTGAGATCATGACCCAAGTCAAAATCAAGAGTCGGATGCTTAACTGACCGAGCCACCCACGTGCCCCAATAGGTCTGATTTTTATTCTTTCACTGATAACGTGTCTTTTATGTTTAGAAACTTTGGGGATTTATTATCATTATTATTATTGACTAGTATTATTCCTAGTTTTTATTCTTGGTATTACATGATAATATCTCCAGGTGTGAATCTTTTTTCATCTATTTTCTGATACCCTGTAGTCTACTCAATCTGAAAACTTATTTCCTTCTACATTCTAAAAAGATCTCTTATAATTAAAACATTTTTTTCTTCTAAATCTCTTCTCTAGTAGTTGAATGTTAGTCCATTGGATTGGCTCTCCATGACTCTTATCTTTTCTCATATTTTCTGTTTATGTCTTTGTATGCTATGTTCTAGATTTCTTCGATTTTATCTCTGGTACTTCCCTCGAATTTTTTATTTAAGTAATCACGTTTTTAGTGTCTCAGAACTCTACTTCATTCTATGGTTGCTTCTTCTTCAGAGTACCTTGTTTGTAGCTTATAGATATAATATATTCTGAATACTGAAGCTTATAAATTGGAGTGTTTTTAAAAAATGTTCCCTTTTATTTTGTGAATTATATCTGTTTCCTTTAGAGTTTGTTTTCTGTTTTTCTTTGTCTTTCTCTTTCATAATGGTGCTTTTCCTGATTTGCCTATTGATTCTTTATTGTATGTTTATACATATATACATACACAATATAAAATAAATATTTATGTAAATATATATTATTCTATATATATAGGTTATATAAGATATATTTACATTTATATGTTATCTATAATATATAATATACATACAAAATGTATATAAATATATATTTAACAACATATATAAAATATATATTTAATATGTTTAAAGTATTTAAATACATTAAATTAAAAAATTAAAATATATAAAATATATATATACAAATTGGTCATTGATGTGGTTTTCCTTTGTTTTTTTTTTTTAAAGATTTTATTTATTCATTTGACAGAGAGAGAGAAAGCACAAACAGGGGGAGCAGCAGGCAGAGGGAGAAGCAGGCCCCACTGAGCAGGGAGCCCGATGCGGAGCTTGATCCTAGGACCCTGGGATCATGACCTGAGCAGAAGGCAGACGCTTAACTGACTGAACCACCCAGGCGCCCTTCCTTTGCTTTTAGTAAGTAGGATGTCTTCCAATTTTCTCTCCTATGTAGTAATTGTGAACAAGTGGCTGGGTTTGATAGGGCAGGACTAGGAATGCTAAATATCAGGTTTACTTTAGGATGAGTAGGCAAGTAACTAGCTCTCTGGATGCTGGTCCTGAGTACCAGAATGAGAATGGTATTATCTGTGTTGTCAACATAAAAGCTTTCATTTCCTCTCTACTATTTACACAATTCATTTGAAGAAGACTTTTTGGGTCTTTTTGGTTTCTTCGTTTGGTGGCAGGTGTCTTTGTCAGCTCTCAGTGTGTACAATGAAGAAGGAAATGTGTGTGGTGCCTGAGTCAGTGTACCATATTTACAATGTTATCCCCATTTTCAACCCTTAATCTCACTTCTGTTCTCTGCCATGCCTCAACCAACTCTTTTGTAGCTTCTTCACTGTAATTTTTGGCAATGGTTTTGGGTGTTATTCCTAGTCAGACCTCTATTATAGCTTTGTTTCCCAGGAAATTGTTGAAGTTTTATTCACTTTTTTCTGCTGATCATCCTTCTCTCCATATAAGTACATGCATACAAACACACTATCTTTACTTTTTATTTATTCCTCAGTTTTTCTACTTCTAAATTTTTATTTCAGCAGTGTATAGGAAAGAACATTAGGCAAATTATATGCCGAGTCCACCATCTTGAACAGTTAGCCAAGAATAACTCTCTATAGATTTTATAAGCATATATTTGCCATTTAGATAGAACCTATTGCAGAATCCCCCCTAACTGACTATCCCTTGGTCACATGACCACCTCTACAAAATTCTTATTCAAAGGGAAATAGAATTACTTCCAGGGTAATGGGAAGAGCTCACATTTCTTTAGTTGTTTGGTAACCTAACAAATTCATTTTATTAATTAAGGAAGAGGAGAAAAATGGTGACTGGTTAGGCAACCAACAGTGTCTGCCATCATAATTTTTTTCCCATATCATCATCATTTATTAACAAGACTAGGGAAGCTCATTTTAAAATTGAGTCTTTTATTAATCAGCATCCCCCAGAGGTCAAGTGTCAGCTCCAGGAAAGGAACTGCACTGAGGTCCAGCAAAGATGTAATTTTAAGACCCAATGTTTTTAGTTGGGGTATGCAAAAAGAAGGGGGAACAATGGACTGAGAATAGGTAAAACCAAAAAGGTCCAGAAGCCGAGGCTGTGGGACACTGGTGAGCTGAACAGACCTAATGGACACACATACTGAAAGAGATACTAAGGGCTAGACATGAGTCTGGAGCATACCAACCCATTCTGACAACTCATGGTGTGATAAGGGTGAGAATGAAAGGCTAACATGCTAAGGATGATAGAACATAGAGATGGAAAGGACCAAAAAACATGGATGACTTTGTTGACCCAATGAAAATATGTTGGAAACACTTTCACCTTGAGATTTTCTGTTTTTGAGACAATTTTGAGGAAATTAAGTCAAATCTAGTTACATACACACACATATATAATTTTACATATATGGGTTCATGTTGTGTATGCATTATTTTACAAACTATTTACTCAATTGTACTCCTTGATATATTTCCATATCAAGCAATACAGATTCATGCCATACTTTTTAATTCTTATAAATTATTCCACTTTAGAGATGTGCTGTACAATAATCCCCTCTTATCTGTGCAAGATACTTCTAAGACAGCTCCAGTAGATGCCTGAAACCAATGCTAGTACCAAACCCTGTATATACTATGTTTTTTCCTACACATACATAGTTATGATAAAATTCAGTTTATAAATTAGGTACAGTAAAAGATTAACAACAATGGCTAATAATAGAATAATTACAACAATATAATGTAATAAAAGTTATGGGAATATGGTCTCTTTCTCTAAATATCTTATTGTAGTGTACTCACCTTTCTTCTTTGGATGTGAGAGGATAAAACACCTACTGATGAAGTGAATGTCACAGGCATTCTGACATAGCAGTAGGCCACTATTCACACTTTGATGATATATCAGAAGAAGGATCATCTGCTTCCAGATTGTGGTTGACCTCAGGTAACTGAAACAACAGAAAGGGAAACCTTGGACCAGGGGCAGGACTACTATAATCAGTTTAAAGCAATCCCCTATTGTTTTTGGAATAATACATTTTTAAGTACGAGTTTTAGTTGGTTGCCCAACCACCCATTAATTTCAACCCACCCTACTCAATATTTTTTTTTTAAGATTTTATTTATTCATCAGAGAGAGAGAGCAAAAGCAGGGGGGAGCGGCAGGTAGAGGGAGAAGCAGGCTTCCTGCTGAGCAAGGAGCCCGATGCGGGACTCCATCCCAGGACCGTGGGATCATGACCTGAGCTGAAGGCAGACGCTTAACTGACTGAGTCACCTAGGCGTCCCCACACTACTCAATATTGACAAAAGATTCATACAATCCTATTTTCTAACTGCCAGATCCTGATTGCCTACAGTACTAAATTCCTTAAATTAAAAATTGAGTCTTCCCTACAGATTAGTTTCTAATTTTAACTTTATTGTCACTACCTTCCAATAAGCACCTTCTATTATGGACCAACAAGTTACTCATTATCATAGAGTGCATGTGCAATCTTGGTTCCTTGTCTTTGCTCACAGCACACTTTCTGGACAGTCTTCTTTCTCTTCATTAGGAATCCTGTCATCAGACTCTTTCCACTGACATTTTGGAAAACCCTCCAGGGATTACAAAGAGGACAAATATAGTTCTTCGAGTTCAGTGAAGTGTATTTTCCTCTAGGTCAGGACTGTCTAATAGAAATAAGATGCAAGCCACCTATGTAATTTAAAACTTTCTAGTAGCCATATTTAAAAAAAATGAACAGGTAAAATTACTTTTAATATATTGACCCAGTGTATACCAAATGTTAATATTTCAATAGGTACTCAATATAAGAATTAAGATATTTTACTTTTTTTTGTACTAAGTTTCAAAATATGGTGTATATTTTGTACTTACTGCATGTTTCCATTTGGATCCATCACATTTCAAGGATAAAGAGTTGCATTTGATTAGTTCTAGGGCAGTTCTAGTGGGGTCCATTTTCAATCTCCTCCTTCTTCCTTAAGTCTCCAAGGAACTGTGATAAGAACAATCTGTCGTGTGAATTTCTAGCACTTTTTGTTAGTACCTCTCGTTATCATGTGGCTTCCTCTCATTATTTACCTTTTGACGCATTTGTCTTGTCTCATAAGTTAATCTGTAAATTCTTTTAAGTCTGGGACCATGGGCTGATCCAATCTCAAGGTTGGGAATAACTTTAATAAAATTAATTCTTTTGATGTATGGCTCCCCTTCACCTAGTGCCTATGAAGTAAGCCTTTAGAATCTAATTAAGGTCAAATCCAGTGGTTGAGGCATCCACATATCCTAAGGCAGACAACTTCTCTGACTAGTGCTAGAAGGGGATCTTCTTTTCAGGATCTGAAATGTTTCTCTCAAGTCTGCAGCTCTTGAGACCACATGAAATAAATCTAATGTCACATGACTAGTGTTTATTTAATAGGAGATGTTCCCGGAGCTTTCTCTCTTCTATGAGAATCCTCCCAAGTTCAATCAGTATTTTTTTTTATGTGGTACGTTTTGGGGTTCTCTTCATCATCTGCTCTTCTATGAAATAATCCCAGCTTCTCTGAGGTTGTTTTTTGTTTGTTTGTTTGTTTTTTTAAGTGCTCAATCCAGACTGAACACAGAACTCCAGTTATGGTTTGGCCAGTGAAGAGTATTAAGTGGATCACTATTGACTGCGTTTCTATAAAACACAATTCCATTATGCATCAAGACACATTGCTCATGAGAAAGGGGGATGGAAGAGGAGGAAGCTAGGACATTAAGTCATGCCCTCATGCCGACGTTTAGTCTAGAACTGTATACACATACACCACACAGTTCTTGAGGTTAGTTAATTTTTCTTAATGTCGTCTGTCTTTTCAAATGAACCAGGGAATCTTCAGACATTTTGTTTTTGGTGGGGACCATCAGACCAAAGGACCGGTTAGCAGAGATAACTTTAAGGTAACTGAGCTGAGAATTCAGAAAGTTTAAGGAAAGCGGACCTGAGACCAGAGAACCGTGTATAAAGTGTCCAATAGCTGGGAGCTCTGGCTGGTGATGAAGATCGCAATTACCCGGTTCTTCAGACTTCATACTTATTGCTCTTCTCTCCTTTATAGGAATTGTTACTTCTTTGTCTTCATCTTAGGGAAAAGAATAGGAGAAAAGATGCAGTTAACTCAAGTAATTGCGGGGAAAGTTCTCCGGTAGTGAGCCAGAGGCACCAGGCCTGACTCCGCAGGGACACCCACCTGACCGCGGACTCCTGGGAACGCGCGCCCTCGCGCCCGTGCCCGTTTCGGGGCGCGCCCTCGGTGCCAGGCCGGTCCTCTTCGCCGCTCTGCTCTGCGGGCGGGAGGCGGGCGGCGGCGCGCGCGGACGGGGTGGGGCAGGAGGGAGCCGACGTGCCGACGTTGGCGCCGCTGCGGGCGGGTGACGTGTAAGCCCGCGCCTGCTCCGCCCCCTCCCTCCTCGCCGGGTTTGTAGGTCTGTACGGTGGTCGGGGCGCTGTGCTCGGTGACTGGGAGCGACCCTAGAGAGCTCCGGGTGGGGTGCAAAGGAAGGCATAGCGGTGCAGTCGTCCGCTGGCATCTTCGGCTCTGCCCTCCGCTCCCCACCCGGCGTGGAAAGTAAAAATGAAAACGAAAGGGAGGGAGACGCGAAGGTAGGAGCTGACCGAGTGATGGGAAGCGCGTGAGCTGGGGCCGAGAGGTGAGGAGGTGGAGGTGGGAGAAGGAGGAGGGGCGCCGCGTCCAGGGGTAGGTGGCGGGAGGCAGGGACTTCGGGGTGGGCGACGCGACCGGATAGCCCCCTCGGGACTAGGGGGCAAGCCACGAGCTGTCATCCCTCTCCGGGCCTGAAGTCTTGATCGTGGTCTCTGACAGTCTGGTCCCACTCTTGGAATTTGTAGGTGGGGGGTGGTGATCAAAAAAATCAACCCAAGCCACATATTGCCCAGGTGTTAGGCCACAACGTGGTGGCCAGGTGGGGTGATTTTTCTTTCCTGGACGAGGGTAATTTGTTTTCTTTAGGTTTTGTTTGTTTTGTTACAAAGCTGTGGTAACTTTTTCGTTTTCCTCACACAGATTTTGGGAGAAAAGTATGCTTTATATTTTTTTTACCCCCACACTGAAAAGTAAATAGTCTGGTTAGGGAGTTGGTCATGGTGACTTGTGGGTGAATTTAGCAATCGCCGAGTCTAGAATTTCATTTTGAAGTAAGTAAATGTGTGCGCGTGTGAGGGTGCTGTGGGAATGGGGGCAGTTGTATTAAATAGTTTTTATATTATAAGTTAACTTATTTATTGAATGCAATGCGTTCGTGTATTTTGCTATTCTTTGGTTTAAAAGAAGTATAATTTTAGCGTTAGCTAAAAGTTTGATATGAATGGTATCACATGTACACTCAAGCTAGTAAGCATATTTTCTTTTTCTAAGTAAGATTGGATTGAATAACCAGTATCTCCATCTCTAGATTTCATGTTTCATGGATGAAATGTTTTTTTTTTCTCATTTTCAGAGTGTTGTGAAAAGTTAAGAATTCAGCTTTTGAGTCTACTCTGGATTGAACTTCTGTGCATGTATCTTTTATTTTTAATGATGGCTATAATAATAGTCTCGCATGAGAAAAATGCTCCTTAGAGATGCCAGTTAAGTGTAGGCTAAGTAATCTTATTGAATGAATTAATTTTTCATGGTTTAGCCTTCTTGATCCCTGTTGAACAGTTTTCTTTTATCATTTCATTCATTCATGTCTTCATCTGTGCCAGGCGCTGTGCTATGCCTAGAAAAAAAAAAGAGAGATACAGTGTCTGTGCTTACGGAACTTTCTATAGTCCCACACCCTTTTAACAGAATCTTAAGTAGGGTTCCTCTTCATGTCGTGGATCTCTAGTGGACCAAAGTAAGGCTTTTCATGAAACTAAGTTATTGTCAGTGTTTATATGTAACTGGCCTCTAAAGAGGAGCAGATTATTTTTCTTGAACAGCATGACTTGATTTTGCCTTTGATCAAAAAGAAAGTATATATGCCAATGTTTTGCCAGTTAAGAGTAATTTTTTTCTTTTTTTTAAGATTTATTTATTTATTTGAGGGCGCCTGAGTGGCTCAGATGGTTAAGTGTCTGCCTTTGGCTCAGGTCATGGTCCCAGGGTCCTGGGATCGAGTCCCGCATCGGGCTCCCTGCTCCTTGGGAGCCTGCTTCTCCCTCTGCCTCTCTCTCTCTGTCTCTCATGAATAAATAAATAAAATCTTTAAAAAAAAAAAAAAAGATTTATTTATTTGAGAGAGAAAGAGGGAGCACGAGTGGGGGGAAGGGCAGAGGGAGAGGAAGAGAGAGAATCTCAAGCACACTTGGGGAGCCCAACGTGGGGCTCTGTCTCAGGACCCTGAGATCATGACCTGAGCCGAAATCAAGAGTTGGCCGCTTAACCCACTGAGCCACGCAGGAGCCCCAAGAATAATTTTTTTTTCTTTTTGCAAAATTGGCTTAAATACAAAGTTCACAATTGGAAGTCAGTTTCTACCTGAAAAAGACTTTATTTTTCCAGCTTTTACATTGGTCTCATTGGATCTCCTATGTGTTAATAACTTCTAATTCACAAGAATTATATGCACAAAGCATATTCATCAGAAATATGTATGATACTTACTGATAAGTGAGTTTTTTGCCCCATAGTACCTTCTCTGGGGAGGTAGTTAGCATAAGGCTTTGCAGTGCAAAGTATATCTTGATATAATATGGCACAGTTTTCAACTTTGAGAAGATATCTACCTGAAGTTGAAATTTTAACAAACACAAACATTTATGGAAAGAAAAAGTGCATAATTACCAAGGAGGAAAGAATAAGGTATCTAATGTATTTATTAATTGTAAGAAGGTAGGCATTATGTGTCTGTCTTCTACAATGTAGTGTAAAGTTTTTTAAAGTAGGTACTGGATCTTATTTCTTACATCTTTTGCCTAGTATAGTGCCTAGCTCATAGTAGACTATATAAATGTTCATTCATTTAGCATATACCATCTCATTTAAGTCCTCTATTTTGCATGTAGATGAGCAAGTATGTTTGAGAATGTTTGCTGTTTGTTCAGTTTCATTTTTCTGCTGTTAGGTATGATCATCAGCTTTACAGGTTGTCTTATTTCTGAAACTCATTCAGATTTAATGCAGTTTAATCCATCTCTGAATATTTTGATTTAATCAGATCATTCACCTGAAAGGGGCAAAAAAAATCATTTTGAGGGGCGCCTAGGTGGCTCAGTTGGCTAAGCCTCTGCCTTCAGCTCAGGTCAGGTCGAGCCCGGCATTGGGCTCCCTGCTCAGTGGAGAGCCTGCTTCTCCCTCCCACTCTGCTGCTCCCCCTGCTTGTGTTCTTTCTCTCTCTGTCAGATAAATAAAAATAAAATCTTAAAAAAGACTTTTTTTTTAAAGATTTATTTATTTATTTATTTGACAGAGAGAGACACAGCGAGAGAGGGAACACAAGCAGAGGGAGTGGGAATGGGAGAAGCAGGCTTCCTGCCAAGCAGGGAGCCCGACGTGGGGCTTGATCCCAGGACTCTGGGACCATGACCTGAGCTGAAGGCAGACGCTTAAGGACTGAGCCACCCAGGCACCCCAGTTCTCGTTATTTTTATTTGACTTTCCTACTATGCCTCTCCTCATTGTTATTTGAATAGGCTAACTCTTGGGGACCTTTGTAAATTAAGATAGAGTCTCATTTTATCTTTCTGGTTTTGGAGTTTTGGGCTTATCTTCCTCCACTTCTGTGATCTCTTCAAAGGGAATTGTTAGGAAGTTCATTCATTATCAAAGGTTTGAACTGACATGGAAAATAAGGGTGGAATTTGGAAGAGGTACATAATTTTTAAGCTAGTAATATGTAATAAATTTACAGGTAGCAGTAAGCATTCTCAGGATATGTTTTAATAAGATCATTGCTGAGAAATATTTATATTTGAAGGAGAGAAAGTTCACACCTAGTTATTTAATAACTAAACCAGAGATTTTCAAACATACCAAATCAGAATTTCTGGGGATGGTGTCTAGAAATGTCTGTGTTCAAACAACTCCCCAGTGATTCCAGCGCAACCAGTTCATATTGGAGAACTTCTGATTAAACCATATGAATTCAGAATCCTCTTAATTTTCTGTTCTGGTCTATTAAAGCAGAACTTCAAAAGAAGGGAGGGAATTATCTCAGGATTATGGAGTAGTCAGAGAGGTAGTTGCTAATGTTTCCCAGAATTTTTATTTTTATTTATTTTTTAAAATATTTATTTATTTTAGAGAGAGAGAGTGGGTGTGGTGGGGGTGGGGGGAATAGAGAGGGGCAGAGGGAAAGGGAGAGAGAATCCCAAGCAGAGCCCAAGGTAGGCCTCCATCTCACGACCCTGAGTCATGACCTGAACCAAGACCAAGAGTCAGACGTTTTACTGACTGTGCCACCCAGCTGCCCCACTTTCCCAGCATTTTTAAAGACTTGCTAGGTCATTTTGAAATTAAGTCAGTGACTAGCAAGTCACTCAGTTGTGTGTAGCTAAGAAACATGGCATGCAAATCTGATAAAGGAAAACATATTCCATTCCAAAGAGAGGAAATTCTTATTGGTGAGACAATTTTTCTTTTCTTCTTCTTCTTTTTTTTTTTCCTATCTGGGATGGTTGATCTTGAGCCTGCAGGGAGAAGGCTGGCCCCAGACTTCTCCAAGTCCACGTTTCTTTTCCTCCAATTCTTACACGTCCAAAGACAGAAAACCACGCAGACACACCTTTGTTGGAGGGTTCTATTTGTCTTTTTAGAAAAATTTCTCTACTTACTTTCTTGAAAGTCAATAAAATGCCCAACAGGCTAATCAGATGAAACAATATAAAAATGTTAAATTCTACTTTTAAACATCAGTAGAGATAAATATACCTTCATCTTGGTTTAAGAAACTTAATTATAAAACCCTACATAAATGATTTATAAGAAGAACTTAATGTGAGGATAATACGCAGTTTTCAAAAATAAGTGCATTTTTTCCCAGTGTGCATGCATTTTCTAAATTAGACCTGATTTAAGCAGGACTTTTAACACCAGGGGGGTTCGTTAAATGGTTTTTCTGAGCATTCTTTAAGGAGTGAAGGAAACTTTGCAAAATATTAGCACTCTCTGTACTCTGGGGATGGGGAAACAAGGAATAACCTAAAGATTACTTCTGGAAAGAGTCACAGATTAATGTTCTGAGTACACATTATTGAACAAATATTGAGTTTCTTGGTGTAAGCTAAGAACCATGCAAGGTACTGGGGAAAAGCAGGACATACACTACTGCAGTTGTGAGGTGCTAGTCAAGATGCTGGCTTTGTGAGACTTTGAATTGACTTGAAGCAAGGAAAAATACTAATACCCGTGAATGCTGCCTGGTCAGCCAGGTAGAGGCTTTGTCATTGATTTAAAAAGTGAAAAAGTTGGTATCCTAAGTTACTGATTTTGGCCATTAGCTTGGGGAAAAATATTTAGAGTTATTAGGGAGTTTGAAAAATGATTGATTTAACTCCAGTTTTTCAGAGCTCTTCTCTTTGTATTTATTGGATATAATAGAGATGCTAGTTAAGAAATATCAGGTGAGTGAAAGCTGTTCCTACATTCTTCTACTATGGTTTTCCTTCTGAGCCCACTCCTACCCTAGGTTTTCTAGTAATGTCAACTTTTACATTGCTTTTTGTTTTCTGTTATATTAGCCTGAGATTTAGAAAATACCCAAATATTAATTTTAGAATTAAATTTCTGCGTGTATAAGTTCTTGAGTTCTTTGAGAAGAGTGGCGTGAGTTGAATAAATCACGTTAGATTTTTATTTCTTTTGTGTTTGAGAAAACTTACTAGTTTGCAAAACATCTCCTTAAGGACTAAAATAAATTAATCAAATGATTAACTTACATGGGGGAGGGGGGATATTTTTGAGGTCCCGAAATGAAGATGATGTTAACATTAAAAAAATATATATTTTATATATATGTGTGTGTGTGTATGTGTCCAGACCTGTAAATACTGCCCCTTTTTTGTGGCCGCTTTGGCCTCCTTTTATCCTTCTTCTCAGTCCATCCATCTGGCCAAAATACTTACTGAGAACCTACTATGCCCCAAACACTATTTTATTTTTGGTGATGTGGATACTGCAATAAACAAAGTAAAATTCCCACCCTCACAGGACTCATATTCTATTGGATGAAGCTGATTAAAAACACAGAAAATATGTGTCATGTGATAAGTGCCATGAAGTAAAGTGAGTTGGATGTAAGAGAAGGATCAAAGAAGGGGGTGCTATTTTAGATAGGGTGTTCAGAGAAGGCTTCTCTGGTAAAGAAACATTTAAGCAAAGACCTGAGGAAATGAAGGAGCTACCTATGTGGCATGTGGGAGAAAACTGTTCATGCAGGGAGATCTGCTTAGTATAGTTATATCACTGGGAGGAAGGCCAATATGGATGTCCCAATATGAACAAGGAGGAGAGTTACAAGAGATCAGATCAAAATGTAAGAGAAAGCCATATTCTTTAAGCCTTTTGAAGTTTACTCAGAGATACAGGAAACCTTTGAAAGGTTTTGAGCAGAGGAGAGCCACAAATGTTAACCTGTTTTGGGGAAGAATCATTCTTGTTTATGTATGGAAACTAGATTGTTAGAGAGTAAGGATGAAAACAGGGAGACTAGATAGGCGATTGTAATAATCCAGGGAAGACAGGGTGATAGTCAGAAGTGGTCAGATTCTGAGTGTGTGTGTGTGTGTGTATATATATATTTAAGATTTTTTATTTATTTATTTGACAGAGACACAGCGGGAGAGGGAACACAAGCAGGGGGAGTGGGAGAGAGAGAAGCAGGCTTCCCACGGAGCAGGGATCCCGATGTGGGGCTCGATCCCAGGACCCTGGGATCATGACCTGAGCTGAAGGCAGACGTTTAACGACTGAGCCACCCAGGCGCCCCGAGATTCTGAGTATATTTTGAAGGTAGAGTTGGGAGAATTTGCTGATGAGTGAAGCATAACTCCCAAGTTTTTTTTGGCCTTAGCAACAGGCAGAATGGAGTTGTGATTGATTAAAGTGAGGTAGACCACAGGAGGAGATTTTCACTGGGAGATCAATTTTGATATTTTTAAGTTTGAGTTGACTATTAGACATGCAAGTGGAGATGTGAAAGATAACAGTTTTAAAGCATCAAACTAAATGGCAAATCGTAGGTTCTGAAAATACTAAATAAAGCATATATATTAAGTGCAGTGTAGTAACATCACAGAATTTTTACTCTCTATGTATTTGTGCATAGAGAGGCATTCATAATGCCTAGTGAGTTAGTTAATAATTTACTTTCCTGTTTTTATATTTTTTGTTTACCATATAAATTCATCTGAGTCCTGATTTTAGTGTTTTTCTCTACTTGAAAAAGAGGGGTAGTGAGTGTGTGCCAACTTCTTTTATATAATGTCGGTGTTAGGGCTATTTAAGAATTTCCTCTACTAGCGCAAAACAGTAAGAAGTAAAGATTAAGGTCATCATACCCTTTGATAAATATTTTTTTTGGGTTCTGAGTGGATAATCCTAGTTGTTTGGGTGTAAAAACTTGAGTTAGATTTCCAAAAGAAGCTCATATTCAGGAATGTGTGGTGTTCCATAAAGTTGTGATATAGTGGAACAAGTGTAAGGTCAGCAAAACCCTTTCTCTCTAAAGAGCTAAGGCTAGAGAATCACTAGAGTTTTGGTTTGGTGAATTCAGGTTTTATTAAGGGACAGACAGAAGTTCTTTGGGTCTGTCCTCCAGAAGTCCATAGGTTGGGGTGGAATGAGAATTCTGCCTTTCTCAGATAATCTGAGCCAGGACCTTTTCAACTGGACCGGTGTGGAGAGAGTTAAGATACACACTCCTAGTATGTTGTGTATCTATTCCATGTATTCTCTAGAGTAATATGTGAACATGTTTGGGGTTTGTGAAATGCTTTCTGACTACTCTTCTTGTTCTTAACTGGTATTGACATGTTTTTCTAGACACTTGTTTTTTCAAGGGCATTTAAAGAAAAGCTTTCTTTATCCTTAAAAAGTAAAATTAATATAATTATGGAGGTCTCTTTTATAATATGAAAACTTTGGTTTTTAGTTATGAGCCTAACTAGGTCCATTCTTCCTAGGGTGGGAAACCTGGGGTTAATAGAATTAAGTAGTTGGGGGAAGTAAATTAGAGAGTATCAATCTTATATAAATTTCATTTTTAATAAATCATGTATGTTGATTTATATAAAATGTGTATATGTGTGTATTATTTATCTTTTCCTTACTTTGTTCTTCATGCTCCAAGTGTGTTTTCTAATTTGATTGGAAACAATTGAAGAGCACTTGCTTCTTGCTTAAGAATGAGTTAGGATATAAAGTAAACTTCTTGGGTGGAAATTATGAATAGTTAAAATTGCCCTTGAGAATCCTTCATTTGGATACAAGTTTGTCAAAACACACTGTCATAGTATGTTGTGTGCAGTCATGTCTTTTTTCCAGACTTGGAAAATAATCAGTTTCTTCACATGAACTAGGTGAAAAAGTTGGCTTGCTTTAATGGCCATGATGTGTGTATATATATATTTTTAAAATATTTTATTTATTTATTTTGAAGAGTGAAAGAGTGCATGTGGGGGGAGGGGCACAGGGAGAGAGAATCTCAAGCAGACTCTACATCCAATGCCGGGCTTGATCTAATCTCACAAAAATCAGGAGTCCAACACTCAACCTACTGAGTCCCCCAGATGCCCCTGTATATCTTTTTAAAAAGGGGAACATGGTTTTAAACATTGCAGTGCAGCAGGATGCTCACGGTTTGAGATGCATATGGTGATTCAAACATGAAGGGAGCATCATATTTTTATTGCTCATCCCGTATTCACTCTAGAGCAAGTATTCAGTGTATTAAATAGTGGCAGAATCTCCAGTATTATTGTTTTTGTCTATCTATAACTTTTATTTGGCATGTTTTATTTGGTTGATTCAAATAAGTAAATGTGCCTGTGATATAACTCTACTGTATTGACTAATTGATGGCAATAATGTACAAGTTAGGAATAAGGGGAAAAATCATTTTTAGAATTTACTGTGAAAAATTACCCTCCTTTGAAATGGCATACTAGAGGATTATAAATGTAATATGTCTACGAAGGCTGGTGTTTTCTGAATTCTGATCTTGACTGTGTTAACTCTTTTACAACTCACTTTTTAGAAGTAAAATATAAATATTCCAGTTTATTTTTCAAGATCTGGTTTGTGGGCATATAATTCTATTTTAAGTATTAAAATCTTAAATTCTAATTTTACTCCATTCACAATCTACTCCCATCATTTCAGTGTTTTTATCCCTCACCTACATTATATCACTTTGACTCCCCGCCCCCCAATAATTCTCTAGCAGCCATGATTGCCAACAGCTAATTATTGACTTTATGTTCGTTAGGAAATATAGTTTGGCTGTTTTGGAGATTTTGTTATTTGTTTATAATGAAAAACACAGTAACTGTATTTTCCTAAAGTTACTGTCAAGCAGTCAGACCCCTTTTAGAGTTTCGAAACACAGATTTGAAATATGAAGGATCTTAAAACTTGCTATGTGGTATTTCAGAATAATGTGTACTAGAATTCTAGCCCACTGGTTATTGGTTAATATCATTTCACAAAGGGAAATATATTCCTGTCAGATTTTTTTCTTCCTTCTTTGAATGTTCAAAAGGGCAATTAATTTCTTCAAGACCCTTTCTTTTTTATGTGT